TCAGATTATTTCTCAATATCGCTTTAAAAGACTTGATAGTAAATGAAAAGGTGTAGAATACTTTAAGCTTTCATATGGTAATTACTTTATGGGGGGTATTGGTTAATAAGTTTTAGAGAAATTCACGAAAAACTATTTTATAGTAATTTTAATAGTCATGAAGAATTTTATGTGGATGGGATTCATCAAAAACTAAAAGGTATTTTATTATATTGATTAAATTTTCATTAATGATTATTATGAGTATCCATCAATCAGTAGTTGTTGCAACATTAAACAATAATATTAGCAGCAATAAATAGCAAACGACGACAACGAATCATCTTTTTTGAGGATGATAATAAAGATTAAGATCCTGTTTGTATAGGAGTAATCGAAGTGAGCATTAAGGACAAGATATATGAACAAAAAAACATATTAACGGATGTTTTATCAATTATTCAATGGATAGGAGTAATCGAAGTAAGTATTAAGGACAAGATCTATGAACAAAATACGCTAACAAACATTTTATCAATTATCCAATAGTTTGTATAGGAGTGATCGAAGTAAGCATTAAGGACAAGATCTATGGAACTTGCAAAATTTACTAACAAACGTTTTATCAATTATTCAATAGTTGTATAGGAGTGATCGAAGTAAGCATTAAGGACAAGATCTATGAACAAATATACTAACAAGCGTTTATTAATTATTCAATAGTTTATATAAGATCTACGAACAAAATATTCTAACGAACGTTTTATTAATTATTCAATAGTTTGTGTAGGAGTAATCGAAGTAAGCTTTAAGGACAAGATCTATGAACAAAATATAATAACAAACGTTTTATCAATTATTCAATAATTTGTATAGGAGTGATCAAAGTAAGCATTAAGGACGAGTTCTATGAACAAAAAAAACATACCAATGAATGTTTATAATTTATACAAGAGTGATCGAAGTAAGCATTAAGGACAAGATTTATGAACAAAGTATACTAACGAACGTTTTATCAATCATTCAATAGTTATGTTTATTACTTATTTATGTTTATAAATTTCTCTTTTATATTTAATAACATCACTATGATAAATAATTAAATGAATAAAGTCAGAGATAAAACACCTT